AAAAGGAAGAAGAAGGAGAGGAGGAGGAGGAGGAGATTGGATTTATACCCCGCCCATCACTACCTGAAGGAGTCTCAGAGTAGCTTACAGTCTCCTTTCCCTTCCCCTCCCCACAACAGACACCCTATGAAGTAGGTGGGGCTGAGAGAGCTCTTTGAGAACTGCTCTTGAGAAAACAGCACTGAAATAACCTGTGATTGACCCAAGGTCATACCAGCAGCTGCATGTAGAGGAGTGGAGAATCAAACCTGGTTTTCCCAGATTAGAGTCCGCACTCCTAACCACTACACCGAACTGGCCGTACAATGCCTGCCACAATGCCTGAATAATTGAGACTGTCCACCTTGTTCAATTATTGTCTCAGACCTGTTCAAATGGCTGCTCATGGTTTACAACTGAAGGATTCATGACCTTTTGTGAGATCTCTGCATTTGAAAAGTTTCTGTTTCACTTTATCCCCTTCTTTTAAAAAAGGCTTTTTTCTTCTAATCTGGGGTTGCAGAGCCATCTCCCCAGTTCATACAGGGGTGAATCGTTTAATCCACACTCTGCAGCCAAGTTCAGAATTAAATTATGAAAATCATGAATATGTTTGATGTATTTCAAAGCTATCCATGAAAAAGAGATAAGAAATGTCCTTGATTACATTATTTTGACATTGGATCAATCAACAGACGCCACAACAGGAATTTCTACTTCATAAATTTGTCTGAGTTTTTAAAAAGCGAATTCACTAATACCGTATTTTCCTGCGTATAAGACTACTTTTTAACCCAGGGAAATCTTCTCAGAAGTGGGGGGTCGTCTTATACGCCGGTACGCCAGAAGCATTAGCACAGCTCTATATTTTAACTGGAAAACTCTATATTTTAACTGGAAAAGTTGGGGGTCGTCTTATACGCCCAGTCGTCTTATACGCCGGAAAATACGGTACATTTCTTCAGGACTTGAAATGTCTCACATTTATTTTAATGAAGCAATTTTAACCTATCTGAGAGAATGAGTTAGGAATGCAGCCATAATCATCACAATGGAAGGAAAATGCAAATATATGACTGCAGAGTTTTGCCTTAAAAATCAAAGCAGTGCATAATAAATTAGATAGGACATACCAATATTTTGGCAAATCAGCTCACATTTGGGACAGTTCATAACTGATTATTGCTTCAAAGTACTAATTCATTCTGATTTTCTAACGATACTACTTTTTTCTCAAATTGAATAGTTTCAGTTTATCTGTTAAAATGCAGATGTTGTGAGATAAAAAGGGTTGCTTTGATAAAAGTTGAAAGCACAAACACATCATTCAGTACCAGCTGACAAAGAGGCTGACATGTAATTATTGAACAGGAATCTATGCAAGATAATTGCATCATAAAGTACAGAAGGTCTAGCTGTTTAAATATTTTACTAAAGTCATGTATTCGCCAGAACCTGTTTTTACTTAATGTGATTCTACCTACAATTGTATTTAAGGGACTTCATTGTGTGTTTTTACTAATGAAAAAGATATAAGTAGGGTTCCCAATCCCCAGGTCCCAGCGGGGGTTACCCCGCTTTTAGGGGCCTGGATCCGCCACCAGTCAGCTGGCCAGCGGGGGGAAACCCATCCCTGACACAATGACGTCACCTGGAAGTGACATCATGTTGTTGCTGACGTCGGACGCAACGCTTTAGTTTTTGAGTGAATGCTATGGTTTTAAAGTAAAAAACCCGTAGAGTTTTGCCCAAAAACTAGAGCGTCATCCCCCCAATGTCAGCAATGCGATGATGTCATTTCCAGGTGACGTCATTGTGCCATGCAAGCTTTGCACATGCACCAGAACATTTTATTTATTTATTTATTTTACAATTTATACCCCACCGGAGCAGGCTCAGGGCGGCTTACAAGGGATAAAATTCACAATTACAATTAAAAGTTCATGAAACATTTAAAAACAGTTCATTAAAACAATACAATATTAAAGTGCTAGCTTTGTTGTTTGGTGTCGTAATGATGGCATTACTGTGATGTGCATACCATAGTTGTGTAAGTTCCAGCTCACTGATCTTCCTCAGATGTAGTCGGCACGCCTAGGCTATTGATAACCGACCAGGGACTAGGCTCTACAGGCTGCTGCAGTTGCTAAAAGTGGTGGCAGCTCATAGTTGAAAGCTTGGTGGAAGAGCTCTGTCTTGCAGGCCCTGCAGAACTGTAAAAGGTCCCGAAGGGCCCTGATCTCTTCCAGGAGCTCATTCCACCAGTATGGCGTCGCCACCGAGAAAGCCCTGCCCCTGGTTACAACTAGCATGGCGTCCTTGGGACCTGGGAGGGCCAATCGATTTTGTGACCCAGACCGTAGTGGTCTCTGGGGTATATATGGGGAAAGGCAGTCCCTCAGGTAAAGTGGACCCTGGCCATAAAGGGCTTTAAAGGTAAGAACCAGCACCTTGAAGCGAATCCGGTATGCTATCGACAACCAGTGTAATGCCTTCAGGCAGGTTGGATGTGCTCCCTCATGGGGAGACCCGTCAATAGCCTAGCTGCTGCATTTTGCACTAGCTGCAGCTTCCGGGTCTGTGACAAGGGCAGCCCTATGTAGTCTAATCGCAAGGTGACCAATGCATGGACCACTGTCGCTAAATTGTTGCGTTCGAGGAAGGGAACCAACTGCCTGATCAGCCGAAGATGGTAAAAGGCCAACTTGACAGTGGCTGCTACCTGGGCCTCCATTGTTAAGGAGGCATCCAGGAACACTTCCAAACTCTTAACCTCCAGCGCTGGCACCAATGGTGCCCCATCAAAGGCTGGGAGTGGGATCCCTACCCCCGGACCAACCTGACTCAAGCACAGGACCTTCATCTTCCTCGAATTCAATTTCAGTTGGCTCAGTCTGAGCCAACCAGCCACAGCTTGTAATGCCCGGTCCAGATCTTCCAGTCTAGAGCCAGACTGACCACCCAACATCAGATAGAGTTGGGTGTCATCTGCATACTGGTGACATCCCAGCCCATGGCTCCAGGCAACCTGGGCAAGGGGGCGCATGTAGATGTTAAATAACATCGGGGAAAGCACCGCCCCTTGTAGCACTCCATACTCTAGTGGGTGCCTCTGGGAGAGCTGTTCCCCTAACGCTACCCTTTCCCCTGACCATGGAGGAAGGAAGCAAGCCATTGCAAGGCAAGCCCCTGAACTCCTGCGTCAGCGAGGCAGTGGACCAGTAACTGATGGTCGACTATGTTGAATGCAGCCGACAGGTCCAACAACAACAGCACTGCCGAACCGCCCCAATCCAGATGCCTCCGGAGATTGTCCGTGAGGGGGACCAGTGCTGTCTCCGTCCCATGGCCTGGGCGAAAACGGGACTAGAAGGGATCTAAAATGGAAGCGTCATCCAAAAAGTTCTGTAGCTGGATTTCCACGGCTCTCTCTATTATTTTGCCCAAATAGAGCAAATTGGAAACCGGCTGATAGTTAGCTAATACGGCTGGATCCAGAGATGGCTTCTTCAAGAGAGGACGCACCACCGCATCCAGGAGAGGATCCACTGGGCAGGTAGGACCTGACAACCCTAGATATAAGTGCCATGAATTTTTACCATTTTTCAGCTTTCAGAAAGCAGAGGAAAAGAGTTCAAGATATTCTAGGAGGCCATTACATGTATGTACATCTTCAACCTTAACATCTGCATGAGATATAACATGGAGCCCGACTCTACAGACTGAAAGGGTTTTGCAGTAATGAAAGTGGATCTTTCCCCTCTTCCTTCTTCTCACAACAGCCCTCTGTGATACCTCAAAATACATGGATAGGACCAGGTGATTCCTGTGGGGGGGAAATCCAAAAGGCACCAAGTGGCTAGGCAGTGTGAATTGGGAGTTAAAGGAAATGGGCCCTCCTCCCTCTTCCAGTAGTGCAAGAATCCAGTGCAAGAGGTTTTCCTGGTAGAAGATGGAAGGAGAAGACATTTCACTTGATCCCTTTTCCTCACTGGAGCCCACCATGCCCAGTGACTTCTTATCTACAAAGATCCATTAACACTCCCTTGTTGGGGAGTAGGGTGTCATAAAGCACTACAGTAGGAGTGAAAAGGCTGGAAAGATCTTCATAGGATCCAGTCCACAGTTTCTACAAAAAATGGTTATCAAACCAACTATAACCATACTTTGAAACCATGGTTTGGCTTTGTTTCATAAACTATGGTTGGGTATGAATGTAACAAAACCCCTCAGTTTCTTCACAGCATGAGGAATCATTCAACTGGAGCCTTGGATAACGGGACATCAGAGCTGAATGAGTGTCAGTGGTTATGTTACTGCAAAGTCACAAAACATGTCACTGCAAAGATACTACTTTAGTAATCCAGGCAGATATGCAGACAAGAAAGAAAGACCAGACTAGGGTGCATTAATGTTGAATTATGCATATCATCTAAAAATGCAAGGTAATGAGAAGGAAGATTCAACTGTCAGCTTCAAGCAACCCAGTTCTATGTAAGTTCTATGGCCTGATCCAAGGCCTGTCAGTTCTATGAGGGCGATGCTGGTGCTGTAAAATGGCTAAAAACAAAGAATTAAAAGAGCGATGTCACAAGCTGTTTACAGTTTTACGTAATTGGCAAGAAGGACTGTATGAATGACACAGCTCTTAAAAGTGGCATGGAGACTGAAGAGCAATTAAAAGGGACAGAAAAAAAAAATCTATGTGAAAGTCTATTAGCTAGACCAAAAAGGTGAAATGTGAAAATCCCTTGATGGACTATTTTTATTCAATGGCCTTTTGTAAAACTACATGTATGCAAGAGATATGAAACTCAGCTACAAAATAAATGGAACGGTAAATTGCCTGCTGTGACCATAAGTGAAGAAAAAATAATCTGCAAAAAGTGAAAGATGCAAAACAGCAGATTAATTCATGAAAAATAACATTAGATTGTTCTCCCTTGGGGTCTAGAAAAATGCTTCCAATATAATGTTCTCTGGAAATTAGCAATAATACTTACAGACTGTTTGATCCTTACCTGCAGAAGAGCCGTGAACAGATATACCACTATAAAGATGGGGGTCAATGACGTGTGACCACTCTTCATTAAATGGATAGTATACAGGAAAATTAAGTGTCCGGGAATCACCAAGAGTAGGAGGACTTGGGCTGATTTATTATTTACTTCTGGAATTAAAAATAAACAACAACACTGATCAATTTAGAGTCTTTAATAATAAAATATGTTTTCAATTAACAATAATGTGCAAACAAGATGTAAATTGCAAACGGGAAAATAACTGGTATATTCTTTTTTTGTGGGGTTTTGTGTGTGTGTGTTTGCATGCCTGGAAGTAATGGCAACTTCTGGCGACCCCTACTGGGGGCTTGGACCTTTTCCAGAGAGGTGGCTTGATATTGCCTGCCTCTGCATTCCGAGCCCTGGTCCTTGGAGGTCTCCCTTCGAATCACTTGCCAGGGTCGGCCCTGCTTAGCTTCCGGAATCTGATGAGATCGGGCTTGCCTGGGCTATCCAGGTCAGAACAAAATGGATTTTTTAAAATGTATGTGAGATAGCCAAGCTCATTTTCAGCAATCAGTGTGAGAAAAGAAATAAAATGCTACAGGTTCTTATAGCTCTCCCAGCTTTTTACAAAGCATCAAAAATCCTGATGAGCAGGCTCTTGTGAGACTCCAAAGCCACAGAAATCCAGGGTTAAGACTGGGCCCCTGCACCACTGCATAATATAGTCTAGCCATCCACACTGATATTATTACTAAGAGGGTGCATCAGTAGGGTGATTTTTTTAATAGGTAGTCTGTTAAATATACTGGAGCTAATGATGTCACACTTTAACCCTGATGAACTGTAAGGTCTGAAAAGATTCCAGAAATGCTTAGAAGTTTTCAGAGATTTAAGAACTAGTGAAACTTTGGCATTTCTGATACAGTGAGAGATTGTGAGGCAGGCTTTCAACCACGAGTTACTGAATTTATGGACTGTGCCTATGGCCCTGCTTGGTGGTTCTTGTTTGTCCTAATAAAGGTATTATTGCTATACCACTTAGGAATCCCTACTCAGCTGAAATAAAACTCCACGTCTATATGTGGATGTGTTGCCAAGAGGCAAAGAGGTTTTTTCCCACTGAGAGATTTGAAGGCAATAAGCACACCAGTGGTGGAGAAGGAAAACAGTTTTATTGAAATCTCTACAGTACTGAGATATCAACAAGTCACAAGAATAAACAGAGAATATGCCCATACCCCTTCTGCTACAGGAACCCCAAAGAATGACAGCAGGTGGACTCCAGGTGTTGGACGATGTGCTCAGTATTGCTCTGCGGTCCAGCCTGAGCTGAAATTCCTGCAGCAGAAGGGGCATGGGTATATTCTCGGTTTTATTCTGCTTATTCTTGTGACTTGTTGATAACTCCCTACTACAGAGATTTTGATAAACCTGTTTTCCTTCACCACTGGTGTGCTTATTGCCCTCGAATCCCTTAGTGGAAAAGAACCTCTTTGCCTCTTGGCAATACAGTGGAGATTTCAGGAAGGGAATAATTGGGGAAATGGTCCTTATCATTAAAGTAATAATATTTGCTTTAATAATAAAGTAGATGTTTGCTGAATACATCATATGAAAGATAAAGATGACACAACAGACATAGTACATACCAGTGCCATAATATGTCCTACACGGATAATAGCAACCCTTGGCTTCTTCTGGTAACTCTCCAGGAACACTGTGCAAATGTAAATACGTAGAAATTCTGCTTGCTTGAATTGCCACTAGATTACCACCAATACCTACACAACAGGAAACAAAAGGAAGTTTCACTATTTATAAATAATGAGACAAAACTAGATTAACAAAACTACCTATCACTGAAAACAAGCTTACCTACTGTTTGATGTTTGCTAGGAAGCATAAGGCACCTGCCATACACCCTGCATCCTCTCACTTTAAGATGCTGCCAGCCTATTACTGACTAAAGGTAAAGGTTCCCTTGCTCGAAAGCCAGTCGAATCCGACTCTAGGGTTGCGGTGCTCATCTCCGTTTCATCTCCGAAGAGCCAGCGCTGTCCAAAGATGTTTCCGTGGTCATGTGGCCGGCATGACTAAACACCAAGGCGCACGGAATGCTGTTACCTTCCCACCAAAGTGGTACCTATTTATCTACTTCCAATTTCTTGCTTTCGAACTGCTAGTTTGGCAGGAGCTGGAACTAGAGATGGGAGCTCACTCCGTCATGTGGCACCCGGGTCTCGAACTGCTGAACTACTGACCTTCCACAGCCTGCAGTTCAGCGTCTTAACCACTTGAGCCACCGCAGCTCCTATTACTGACTACTCATCCACATATTTATTTGGTGCCAATAGCAGGTGAGGCATTATACAGGAACAGGGATGCCTTACCAAACAGAAAAAAGTTGTAATTTACATCTGATTGCCAGAACCCTAATAGATGTCAGAAGCAAGAGAGCAAGTAGTACCCATATGGTACAGTGCTGAGTTTGGATATGGCACTCCAGCTTCAAAACTGTTCTCAACTGTGAAATCTACTGGGTGGTCTTGGATACTTTCTCAGTCTAACTTTCTTGACAGAAGAACAAATTTGGAGTCCAGTGGCACCTTTAAGACCAACAAAGGTTTATACAAGGTATTGACAGAGTTACTTTTGATCTGAAACAATGCTTCTCAGCTCTTTGGAGAAGTGATGGGACGCAAATGTAACCAAAAATGGAGAAATCCTTACTAGTCATAAATGCAGCTAGTGACTACATGCCAGAAGGCATATTATCCAATATCTTCACTGTTTCTAGAGTAAGAAGGAAGCAATATATTTGCTTCTGTTAACTTTCTCTTGCAAACTGAAGTGGGTCGCTTGACCTGTAGGAGCCATTCCTGACAAAGCAATGAGGGCCATGAAGTCTGTGTCATTGTGATGGCGGGAAATGAACTTTGTACATTTGACTCGAATTGATTTTCTTTTTAGCTGCAGACTGCTACTAAAACTGTAAACCTCTGCAGATTGGTAAGAGACTTATGATGGCATGCACAATGCCATTTTCTTGAATAGCAAGAAACCTACTGGGGAAAATACTGGGAAACTTAGGAAAAAAGTTGGTGGTCAGTCCATATAATTTCTTGTGACTCTAACGAGAAATGATGCGGAGTGAGTCTCCATAAATAAATAAATAAATGCTTTTTTATATTTCACTCCAGTTCAGGCAGGGGGGATCTTTTACTGCTGCCACAGTGCAGGACAAAGCAGCAGACTCAATACATGCCATTTCCCCAATCACATTCTATTTGCCAAGTTGTTATTCTTCCCATAGGAGAAGACATATCAATCTTTAGCCACCCCCCTTGCTATTAGAGTTGCCAGTTCCTTCCTGGCCACCAATGGTGTGGTAGAGTTGCCAGCCCCAGGTTGGAAAACTCCAGGAGATTTTTTTTGGGGGGGGAGCCCGGGGAGGACAGGGACCTCAGTGGTGTACAGTGTCACAGGGTCCACCCTCCAAGGAATCCATTTTCTCCAGGGGAACTGATCTCTGTAGTCTGGAGATGAGCTGTAATTCCAGGGAATCCCCAGGCCAACCTAGAGGTTGGGGTCCCTGTTTGTCATGCATGACAGACTGTATCTCAATGATCAGAGGCCAAGCACATAGGATAGAACCATTCACAAATTCCCAGCAGACCTGTAAGCTGGGAACATATCTCAAGAAAGAAGGGTGAATGATCCTTCCCCTGCACTGCTGCTCTGAAAACAGACTGGAACCCCTCTGGCTGCAGCAAGAAAAAAGAAAAGGAAAAAATTCAAGGTACACTCTATATTTCTAAGTAACAGTTGATCTGGCGATTACCCGTAAAATGAATGAAACCTTGATATCCAGCACCTTACAGAGTCTCTAAAATTATGTTTTCAGTTCTTAAAAGGGTTGTGAATTACAGGACTGAAATTATTTTCAGTCATTCTGATCTCGAGGCATACGCCTTCAATGAGCAGAGAGTTTTTTTTTTCTTGCCTAATAGACAATTTGTTTCCTGTAATAGCTTTTCCACTAACATGTTTGTTGAATTACCTGGGCTGTTCAACGAACTAATCACCTCACTAAGAGTTGCAGAAAGCTATTAGAGAGATACATGTGGTGGAGATTAGCATGTGAACACAACAGGTTGTCAATACACCAAATTGTTTGTGCAAATCTTTAGCGACTGAATGACCTCCTTGAAAAAGCTTCGGCTGTAGTAAGCTTCGAGCCTAGTCACATGAAAAAAGTTACCAGTATGAATACCTGAGAGGTTTTCAAATCCCTCGAAACTTAATAACACATATAAACCTTCTCACAAATACATTCTTCATGAATTGATTTATATGTATTGTGGTACACCCCTCAGGATACTGTGAAATGGTGCTAGCTTTTTAACAGTCATCTGGGAAGCAACAGACATTGCAATCTCAATTAAAACCATTGTTTTGTAATTGCTCTCAATTAAAATCACTTTTCCCCCTAATTGCCTAGAATCCCTCACAGCTCATGTCTGCTTAGTGTCAGCAAAATAATGACTATCAGCAAAAATGAACGATGCCAGTGTGGTATCGTGGTTAGAGTGTCAGATTAGGCTCTGGGGGACCCAGTTTCAAATTCCCAGTCTGCTATGGAAATGTGCTGGGTGGCCTTGGGGCCAGGCACACACACTTAGCCTAGCCTACCTCACAAAGTTGTTGTGAGAATAAAACAGAGGAGAGAAGAATGATGCAAGTCACTTTGGGTCCTGATTGGAGAGAAAGGCGGGCAAGAAACAAAGTAAACAAATAAATAAACAAATGCTCAGAGTACTGAGCTGACCAGTGATTTCTGCAAACAAAGCCTTCATTGTATTTGTACTTCAGATCTCTTCTGTCTTGGATGGGGTTATACTCTTGAAAAGTCAGGTTCACTGCTTGGGAGTGCTACTTGGGAGTCCCAATGGAAAACCAGGCAGCTGTGCTTTGTGCATTTACTTTGGCTGATGCGTCAGCTGTGTCCCTTTCTGGTTCAGTCAGACCTATCCACAGCGATCCATGTCTTAGTTACATTTACACTGGACTATTGCAATGCACTCTACTTGGGGCTACCCTTGAATAGTGTTTGGAGGCTGCAGCTAGTGCAGAACACTGCAGCTAGTCTGCTGGTCAGGGCCAGCTTTCAGGATCATGTGACCTTGATACTACCAATCTGCTCCTGAGCCTAATTCAAGTTGCTGGTTTTGACCTTTAAAGCCCTATATACCTTGGGACTGGGGTATCTGAAAGAACATCTTCTCCCATATGTTCCTTCTAGGCTTGCCAGGTTCCGAGATGGGGGATCCCCTGCTTGACATGCTCCGGCCAGCTGGGGAAACCCCGCTGAGGGTAGGGTAGGGTAGGGTAGCTCTACTTTTTGGGCAAAACTCTATGGTTTTCTGGAAGTGACATCAGCGCATCACTGAGGTCCCTGCCCATCCCCGGAATGCCCCCCAAATCCCCCTGCCGGCAGGAGGAGGGCACCTGGCAACCCTAGTCCCTGCCTAGGAATGAATGAATGAGTGAGTGAATCACAGGGCGAGTCCCATCAATCAAAGAAGCTTGTTTGGTGGATACATAACAGAGGACCTTTCCAGTGCCAGCCCAACAGTTATCGAACAACCTTCCCAGGAAGGTATGCCTGCTTCCTTCACTCTCAGTAGGACTATATATGGTTAAGTTTGCAAGTGGTGCTCAATTGCAATTTTAAATTTCGGGTTGCATGTTTTTAATGTCTTTTATCCATGTTGTAAACCGCCTTGAGCTCCGCAAGCAAGAAAGGTGGCTAATAAATGTTTTAACTAATAATAATGTTTCATACATTTTAGAACCTCTCCCAGATCCTTGTATGGCACTCCAACTACTGCACTACATTGCGTTCCCGAGAAGCAGGGTTGCTAACAGGCTGGAGAGAAAAATATCTTGCTCCTTTTAACAGAGGCTTAATGGGATGTTTCCAGATTACTTGGCAACCCTATTCGGAAGATGGGAAGTTCCCTTGGTAGAGAGCAGGTCTATTTACTGTCATACTGTCGATACGGGCTGGCCGTGGCTCTCAAGGATGTCAGTAGGGCTGCAGAAATCATGTTCTATGAACTTGCTTTTATGTCATATAATCAGACCATTAGGAGCTAATGTTTTGTTTTCCACCTGAATTTATGGTACTTTTAAAATCTGCAGACATAAGTAAAGTGGGTTGTATCATTTCGCGCTCAAACAGCGCAGCCCTTTGTTCCTGAGTCAAGGAGTGACTGTGATAATAGGGTAGTCTTTTAAGGCCTTTTAAAAAAGGCTACAGTGAGAAAAGGCAGTGTTGCCAAATGTGTGATTTTAGTGTGTGGCTTGAGATACTTGGCATTTTTCTTAAAACCACAATTCCTGGGCTGCGAGCATGATCGAGATACTCAGCTTTAAATAAAAGTTGCTAGACTGGAACAGTGAGAACGGCAGCTTAGAAAAACAAACCCTAAAATCTCAAAAGATAATGGCAGAAATGAGTGTGTGAAGTACTCCTAAGGTGGAAATGCAAATTTTAAAAACTTAAGCCTGCTCTGTGGGGAAACTTATATAACTAAATATAATGAAATATATAATTATTTTTGAACATGTGGACATGAAGTAGTGAAAGAAGATGCAAAAAGAAGAAGCTGAAGTATAAGAATCACAGGTAGGGCTGCCAAATCCCCCCGGGGGGCGGATTTCCCCCCGCTTTGGAGGCCCGATTTCCGCCCCCGCAGAATCGGGCCCCGGGGGGAACCCCACCCCCGCGTGCACGTCACAGGGAAGTGACGTCATGACGCGGGGCACGCTGGGGGCAGGGCACAGCTATTTGAGGGGAAAACTCTATGTTTTCCCCTCAAATGGCTGTGCCCCGCCCCCCAGCATGCGTCATGAGGTCACTTCCCTGTGATGTGCACGCGGCGCGTGCGCGTGCCGGGAAACAGCACAAAGTCCCCCGCCGGCAGAGGTGAGTTCATTTGGCAACCCTAATCACAAGGCTGCTGTCAAAAACATTGCCCCTCCCCCTCTGTCTTACCTCAACGCTGACATCATGAGGCCGAGCACTGCCCCCCTCCCCAGCAACCTGTCCTGAAGTGCGGAGAAATGTACAGCATAATGTTGTGAGGGTACAAGCCAAATAGTACTACACACTGGGGGGGAGGGGGGGTCTTTGCATGGGGCTACCATTTTCAGCAGAAGGCCCATGTTTTATACCCAGGTTGCAAAAAAGAACCCAGAAGAAAATGGCTTACAGAACAAGGACTCTGCCATGCCATGCCAAAAGCACAGGCTAATCCTGCGGGAAAGAGGCAGTTCAAAGCACCAGTGAAGACTTCAAGGTGGGAAAGACTTTGGCTGTACAGGAAAAGAGCTTGGCTGTATTCTAATATACTGAATTGTATTTGAAGTTTTTGGAAGTTGGAATTTATTGAATTTGTATGAATTTGTATTGAATGTATTAGATGTTAGCTGAGATGTTAGCTGTTTATACTACAAATTTTCAATAAGACTACCTTTAGGACTTTACAGATCCATTTGTATTTCTTTACACAGTGCTACAGCCTCAGTGTTGTGTTTTTGTACTAAAACCTCCACTTATTGGCTTGAGATCTCCTGCTATTACAACTGATCCCCAGAAGACAGATATCAGTTCACTTGGAGGAAATGGCTGCTTTGAAAGGTGGACTCTGTGTCATTATAACCCACTGAAGTCCCTCCCCTCTCCAAACCCCTTCCTTCTCAAGCTCCACCCCAAAATCGCCAGGTATTTCCCAATCCGGAGCTGGCAACCCTATTATTTATAGACTTACAGAATTCTTTAAAAGAGATTCTAGGAAATATCTGGATTTAAATATCTGGTAACTTTTCAAAATAGTAATCTATGGCCTCGTTCACACAGGCCGGAAAACGCAAGGGGGAGGCGTGGCTATTTGTGGCACTGCAATTAGCCACACAATAACACGATCAGACGCGTTGGCGGCAGCCCACGGTTCTGGCCCTTGGCGTATGTGCGGCAACAAAGATGGCCGGAGGGAAAAGCCGTGCCAGCGCGATCACATCAAGGAAGTCCAGAGGTAGCCCGTGGCAAACCATTTGCTACTACCTTCGAGGAGGTATTTTTTAATCACGCATTTTACGCAGCATGCCACGGGTGCGCTTCACTTGCCAGATGTTGTGGTGTGATTGCGCCTGGAAAATCCGCCATCCAATCGTGGCTCTCCCGCGGCAAATTCGCCGTGTGAACAGGGCCCATGTATCTTTAAAACAGGTGTGTGTGTGTACAAAGAGTCAACACTTTTTTCATTTTTCATCCATCAACAGTATTTGTAGAGCTATTTTAATACACTACTATGTTCTGTCATGTTATCATCTGCTATTTAATAAACTGTACATGAAATGAGAATGGAAACTGCATGTGACCTGCTTGAACGATTCGTTGCTGAGGAAAAAACATAGTCAGGTATACTGACAGGTTCTACTGTCACAAACAGAAACATCACAATGATAATACAGGCCTAATCTTACAGCTCTTTAGATGGATATAAACACACATTTTAAAGAGAGTATTTTAAAACCTCTTTCTGGGGTCTAGACATAAAACCACGATAGTTTTAAAAATATAATTCACTCTTTCTCCACTGTGACAACACACAACCAGGAACTACTTTTACTCTAAAATTATAGTCTGGCTTTACAACAGTAGATATCCACCCACTATGTCTCTGTTTGGCCTTTTATCTAAGTAGCATGTGTTGAGCCACAGCAATTTAAGAAATCCTGTGTCAGTCTTACCATTGATTACTGGAGTATAAACAACAATCCCAACCAAATTAGGATCAGATACAGTTGTGTCCAGAATAAGGCCACCAATACTGAAAAAGAATTCAATATTTCAGGTACAGTCAAATGGTATGCAAAACGCACTCTACAAACAACACAATTATTTACAACATATATATAAATTATGGAAACTTTACACAACTATAATTTCTGCCCATGGATTGTTAATTTCTGCTATATTAAATGCTTAACTCTTTTAGACATAAATATAAACAAAACAGGCAGTTGTCTTAATGTCAGCATCTACCTGTGGTATTTGGAAAACCCAATGACAGCATGCAAACCAGTATCCCTACTCAGGCAGAAGGTACCAAATAAAACATATAGACATGATCCACCCAAACCTAAGTACATTAAAAACCCATTGACTTCAAAGAATGATGTTTATACATGCCCATAATATTTTATGTATTTACACAAATTATTATTTCTTAGAAGTCTGCAGGACAGGTTACAACTTTAAAGTCACACCCCTCAAAAAATATTTTAAAATCAACCTACTTCTAGGATTCCAGAGGCAGTGAAAGCCCTTAAAAACAGTTCCTGTGAAAAGCTCAGGTCATTGGGTCTGGTACCTATATGATAGCAATGATGGCAAATCTCCCCAAAGAGAATTCCAAAGCTAGGAAGCCACCACAGAAGAGGCTGAGTAGTGGTCTGCCTCCCATCTGAAGATGGGGACACCTGGATAATTCTCAAGTAGGTTCAAATGTGAGAAGGTGGACCCCTTAAGATACCTTGAAACTCAAATGTACAAAACTTTGATTGAGTGCTTCATACAATTAGCAGGGATGCTTACAGTCTCTTATACTACTAATCATGTATAACATCTTACATACGACTATAAGGGAAACAAACAACTTTTTCCCCCCCAATATTTTTTTTCTCGTACTCAGCTGTGTTGCAAGATATTTACCTGCTTATGACCATAGCAGTTATAACAGGCTCCCACCCTGAATGGAGGACGGTTCTTGTAGCTGGATGTTTAGCAGCAATTACAATCCACATAGGAGTCAGAGCCAAGAAAAAGGCACCAACTAAAGGAGATATATAATAATATTTATCTAAAAGAAAAAAAATGTTTTTATTAGAATACATTTTACTGTAATGTTATGCATCGTATATGGGGGAAATAATTTACAAGCTAATTTTGAAGGCTCAGACTACTCATTTTTAGATCTCAGGTGCCTTCCTTTGCTCCTCGTGGTTCTTCAGAAACTACTTCCACTCTTCTCAGTTACACTTATCTCCAAGCATCTTCAGGATGGCAGCCTCAGGATTTTTAAGAACATAAGAGAAGCCAATGTTGGATCAGGCCAATGGCCCATCCAATCCAACACTGTCACACAGTGGCCAAAAATACCAGGTGCCATCAGGAGGTCCATTAGTGGGGCCAGGACACTAGAAGTTCTCCCACTGTTGTTCTTTTTCCTTTTTGAAAACTATGGCGACTACTTGATATTTTCAAAAGATTGCATGACTGTATTTTCTCACAGCTGAATACTGAACACTCACACAGGGCAATCCTAAACAGAGCCATACCCTTTTAAATCGACTGAAGTCAATGGACTGATCAGTTCCCTGTAGAAAATGGCAACTTTGGAGGGTGGAGTCTGTGATATTATACCCGACTGAGGTCCCCCCCCCCCCAAACTCTACCCTCCCCAAGCTCCAAACCCAAATTTCCAGGAATATTCAAACCCAAAGTCGGCAACCCTACACTAGACCTTTCTTGATACATCAACCAATGGCCAACATAAAGCATTAGCAAAGCTTTCCATCATTGTACGACATGTTAACTTTCAGATTCTGAAAGTTATTTTGTAATTAATGTAGAATTTTACAAAACTGAAAGGTTACATGTGTGCAGTATTGCTAATACAATTATTCTTACATCTAAAAGTCAATGCTAACAATGCTAGAACATAATTTAATTCCAGTAATAAAAGATTGATCACAATATTTCAGTATGCAGAAAGAGAGTAGATTTTTGCTTGCAGGAATCCATCCTCATCCGTTCACAGTGACAATCGTATCAATTGTCTCAAAGAGCAGAAGATAGTCAAGAATTATTTCTTGAGGAGTTAGCTGTGTTAGTCTGTTGCTGCAAAATAGTAAAAAGCCCAATAGCATCTTTAAGACTAACAAACTTTATTGTAGCAAGCTTTTGAGAAACACAGCTCTCTTTGTCAGATGCAACATGCATCTGACGAAGACAGCTGCGTTTCTCAAAAGCTTATCTTACTAGAGTTTGTTAGTCTTAAAGGTGCTACTGGGCTTTTTACTAATTTGCAATAATTATTTCTGCATTTTTAAAAGTTTTGAAAGCATATGTCTTATGTCCTCCACTAAATCTCCCCAGTTTTCTATCTGTTCATTTTCTTTACGACTATGCAGAGAACCCACACATTATGATGTCCATTTCCTGACCATCAGCACACGCCCTCTGAACCACAATCAGCACACATTTTTATAGCTGTTGATTACTCTGTAACAATGCTGATATCCTATTGAGTTATTTTCCTTGGATGAGTCTGTCCATAATTCAGTAAGGTTCCTCTGTAGAATACAGAGCAACTGAAAGGTCTGTAACACCAGAACAGGAAAAAAGACTGCAAGCTAATCTATAGGGATCCTGAATGAATGTGTTGACAGTACAGCCTGCAGTGATGCCCGCAGCAATCTCTTCACTCTCCCCGCAACACAGTGCACAGACCAGGCCTTGGAATAAAGTGGTCCTGCAAGCTCAAAAGGATTCTGAGAAGAAAGGAGGGTGCCTTAACCACAGAGAGATTCTTGTGCAAGCAAGTGTACTATTGTGTTGTGGGTACAGCACAAAAATAGATTTCTGTGCTTCAATTATAATCCACAGAATAGAGGCACACTGCATAAAGAACACAAAACTTATTTATACCATCTTGACCCGGGGCCAGCTCTTCCAGAGGCCTTTCAGATCAGTGTAGCAAATGGTGGAAACAGAAAGTTGTCTCCGTGGACTTTTCTCATTGCAACTGTTCCATAAGTGGCACAAAGGACACCGCTGACAAGCAGGCAGATATAACCCTACAGTCTTACCATAACCCCATAAAGAATGAATGCCAACGATGTACAAGGCCCCAATTTATTTATTTCAACCACCCCCTTTTTTGACAGCAGGGTCCACTAAACTACTTAGTGGAAATAGAAAGTGCTGTCAAGTCGCAGCTGACTTATGGGGACCCCATAGGGCTTTCAAGGCAAGGGACATTCAGGGGTTGTTTGCCATTGCCTGCCTCTGCGTCACGACCCTGGACTTCCTTAGTGGTCTCCTATCCAAGTACTAACCAGGGCCAATCCTGCTTAGTTTCCAAGATCTGATGAGACTGGGCTAGCCTGGGCTATTCAGGTTAGGGACAAAACTCCTTACAGTAAGTTAAAACCATAAACCATAAGCTCTGACTGATGATCTCCGCAGGCATCTGTATCGAGGTGGTGTGGTGGCACTGTTGTTGTTAGATCTGTCGGCCGCATTTGATACGGTCGACCATCAGTTGCTGACCCACCGCCTCGCCGACGTGGGAATTCGGGGGCTTGCCCTTCAATGGCTGGCCTCTTTTCTCCAGGGTCGGGGACAAAGGGTGGCGATAGGGGATCAGCGGTCCCGGAAGTGGCCCCTTGAATGTGGGGTACCTCAGGGGGCAGTGCTATCCCTGATGTTGTTCAACATCTACAAGCGTTCCCTTGCCCAGATTGCCTGGAGTTGTGGGCTTCTATATATGCAGACATGGAAATAAGAGCAATCTCCCTTTTCACTGGGCAGGGACTACTTCTCTTAACTAGAAGCAATTTCCCTTTTTGGCTTGAATGGAGATCCTTTGTGACCCTCTCACTCCTTTTGCCTCCTTCCCAGTCCATAATCAGTGCTTAACTGTCTCTTCTTCAACTGTCAGTCCTCAACTGTCATTCCTTAACTGACTCTCCACAGAATCCTGTTTGAACAGCCTGTCACTCAAAGGTTTTCAGACTCTGTTAGGCATTAACTACGTGTCAAATGATAATACAACTAACACACTTAAATGTTTATACAATGATAATATATCTAACACTACTATAATATATATTAGACTTCAGCTTCTCTACTAAATATCTAGTAAACATGAAGCAACATCACCAGTGCAAATGCTGATATGCTACAGAGATTCATGGAGAAATACGCATCTAAGGTTCATCATCAGTGTTCTAGAGCCTAAAACTCAACATGTGCTAATGAAAAGGAAGAGATGTTAATTTCCATCCATGGTAGAATGGCAGTTTCAAACATACTCAGTAGAGAGCTCTCGGCTCCAACTTAAACCAAAGGTAACATTAAAAGTATCAAATGTACCACGAATGAACACTTGTTAAGACTTGCCCTAGGTTTTTTTTTTTACATTCATATACTAATCCTAAAACAGATTTAACTTGAAAATTAGTCCCATTGATTTAATATTGAAACTTGGCAGTTATGGAAGGGGGAAAAATTAAATGACCAAAGATTTCTGAAGTATAGCTCACTAGTACCCTCTAGTGTTCTAAAGAGATATTATCATAGATTATACATTATGCCTTGACGTGTATAGCCCAGGCTAGCCTGATCTCATCATAGCCAGGAAGCTAAGCAGGGTCAGCCCTGGTTAGTATTTGGATGGGAGACGACCAAGGAAGTCCAGGGTCACTATGCAGAGGCAGGCAATGGCAAACCACCTCTGAACGTCTCTTGCCTTTAAAACCCTACGGTGTCGCAATAAGTCACCTGCAATTTGATGGCACTTTCCATCACCATTGCCCTGACCTGGGTCCTGTCCATATGAGGCCTTTTGGGCCGGGAGCGGGACGGAACGGGGGCGGAGCAAACGGGCGCGATCCCACCGCAACATCTGGGAAGCGTACCGTCTCCGTCCCTGATCCGGCCCTTCCAGCGCTGCTCCGCACCAAAAAATAACCACCTACCGAGGTGGTTCTTTTCGAAGGGCCGCAGCAACGCTAACCGTGGGATTGCCGGCGCGTCCTTGCGCCGGCGCATCCCCGGCTCCTGGCCGAACTGCGCATGTGTGAGCATGTGCAGTTCGCCAGGCTCCCCTCCCCACCGTCGCTTTCTCCCCGACATCTGATCGTGCCGGGGAGCGACGGCGCCGCGGCTCGGGGGATCCGTGAGATCCCGCCACGCCGTCTCAACTTTGCTGCGGCTCACATTAGCCGCAGTTCGAGCGCACTTTTCCCTGCCGAGTGGCAGGGACACTGGATAGCCGAAGCAAGCCTGATCTCATCAGATCTCGGAAGTGAATCAAGGTCAGCTGTAGTTACTATCTGGATCGGAGACCACCAAGGAAGTCTAGGGTCACAACGCAGAGGTGAACCACCTCTGAATGTTTCCTGCCTTGAAAACCCCACAGACTTGTCATAAGTCACCTATGACTTGATGGCAAAAAAAAAAAAAGTTATTAGAAAATTTCTATTAACTCCACATTGGGACAAAAACAGAAACTGAAGCGAGATTATCAGGAAAAGCGTCTACCTCTTCAGGCCTGTTAAAACTCTACACAAATTTACTTGCCAAATGCTAGCCCAGGTAGATACCTGGCAAGTACTTGTTGGCCAGTTTAAGGCCCTCCTGCCCAAACTGAGGACTCAGGCAGCAAGAACCAGTCTCTGTGCCAATCCAGTGACTTGTGAGAACTGTCAGCTATTGGCCTGCTCAGTTTACCAAACAGCCAGTAAATGGCACTGTAGCTGCCTGCTTGGCTGGCTTGAGAAAACGCCAAGGAGATCAGTAACTTTCCACGTGTTCCCGTAAAGCTTCTGAAGCTGGCCTGGCTCCTCCGTCTGAAAGGTACTCTGACTCCCCGTTTTGCAGCTTGATGTCCCATCTGCTTCCCTGGTTGACAACCTGTTTAATGGATCCTGCTTTCCTCCAAGTTGCCACACTTGACAAGTAATTTCAAAGCATCTTTATTGCTCCCATTCTAAAGAATTCTTAAGTGCCATAATGCAAGTGTGTGTGTGGGGGGGGGGGGGGCTTAGTACTCCAAACACTTGTAAACACTTAGCAGATAAATTTGGCTGTGGTGGTAGTACGAGACGTATCAGTTACACTTTGCTTGTACTACTTGCAACTGATTTCAAGCCATTGCTTCTTCCTAACCTACTGTATTTAATGAGAACAAAGTTTAAGTCCGACAAAATTTTATTCAAGCTATAAGCTTTCATGTGCAAGCATACTTCCTCAGATATAAATTTAGAGTCCAGTGGCACCTTTAAGACCAACAAGGTGCCACTGGACTGGACTCTAATTTGTTCTACTACTTCAGACCACCTGGAACTTTCCTCAGATACAGTGAAACAGAATTTCCTCACATCTGTTTGCTGGCTCTTGCATTTGTGTGCTAATTTGCTGCCATTCACTGATCTTACTGGCCGCCTTCATACAATCTCAGCATTATTTATGCATCTTGATTCTGAGTGGCCCTTCCTGATGGCTGCCCCCCATTTTCCTGTATGTAGGGCCTGAGGAAATTCTGTTTCACTGTATCTGAGGAACTGTGCTTGCGCACAAAAGCTTGTACCTTGAATAAAGCTGTTTGCCTTACGTCTCTGCACTTACTAATATAATTAATGCTGATATTATATTCATGTCAACAAACTCTACTGTACTCTGCACATGTATCCTTTTAAAAATGGAATATGTAATACTTATAGCATATGTCCTGCCGACGAAGCTGCCAAACGGAAGTGCCAACCAAATCTCTCCTTGGAATGCCGCCAATTCTTCACCATTTTACAAGAAGGGAGGCCTGGATCCTGTACTATGGAAGGGACTGTTCTGAATTTCCCACTCCCATTACAGCCTACCACGACTTTCCAGTCCCATCCCGGGGATTGATGGACCTTCAGGAATAGTGAGGGGACAAAGTGTGGCTGCCGAACCAATGCTGTTGTCGTTTTAATCTGCACAGCCAATTCTCATTCCGCACACAATTCTCCTTCAGCCTATTACCCAGTTTAGAAGTTCCTAAGTGAATTGTTTGTTTTCAGACGAACAAACAAAACAATACCCTATATTATTGGTAGCAGAGGGGAGAAGTTTGGATATTTTAAAGGCAATGAAATATTTAGCAGCACATTTTTTTCAAAGAAATAATACTCACCAAGGCAATCATAAAGACCCTGACTTATCCAAGCAAGTATGGCAAGAGTAATAAGGTCTCCAAAACTTGCAGCAATGGGGGTTGCAACATTATCAGGATTTATGCCAGTCTTCTTTGACCCAACTATAACTCCAACCATTATTATTCCTAAACATATATTGGAAGAAGAAAGCTTGTCAGTCTCATGCCACATCTCCAAACAAGAATATTTTAGAAAAGGATTCTTTTCAGTGTCTTGTGCCCAGAGTAGGGATCAGCCCATGGTGTGGGGGTGGGGGGTGGGGAGAAGGACACAGGCCCACAGAGCATCAGATCACAACTTTACTGATTATAGGTTCCTCAGAGCCTCATATAGCATAGGCTGAGGACAATGGATGCATGCTAGGCTAACCAAGGAAGAAGCCTGGTATTAGGGCTGAAAGTGGCAGAAGCCACTGCCTGTCACCAGCTTCCTGGGGGCATGGTTAACATGTCAGCCTTGAGTTTGGCTGCTGTGCACCGTCCTCAGAGCTCCTTAAGGGGACCCCCCTTTAGAATCATGCAGGGAATCCACCCTGCCAAATCTGTACTATATTTCCCAGCCAATGCCTAAACACCAGCAGCCAGTTGTGAAAGTTATGCTCTTTTTAACAGTACAGCCAACATACAAAGCTCCCCCGAGAGCACTGAGATCGGAGTCGCAAGACCGCTTAGTCCCCCCTGGCCCTAGGGATGCCAAACTAACAACCACTAGAACTAGGGCGTTCTCTTTGGCTGCACCAATATTATGGAACCAGCTCCCACATGAGATCCACGCTCTCCGGGATCTCCGCCAGTTCCGGAGAGCGGTGAAGACGGAGCTATTCCGCCAAGCATTTAATAACCCAGACCAAGCATGATAGCACTTTATGGTCGCCGCCATGGGTATGTTGTACTGTGTGTAAATTGCGATTTTACTGTACTGTGATAGATTGTTTTACATGGATTGTTTTATTGGTTTTAATGTTGTAAGCCGCCCTGAGCCACTTCGGCGGGAGGGCAGGATAAAAAATTAAATAAATAAATAAATAAAATACTCTTCACTATGGGGAAGGCAAAAACCCCAGTGTCTATTAGCCATTCACAGCCATGGATAAAATCCTTCCTAGCCCAGCTAACCAACAATCCCCTGCAAACATAGCAAGGGTTATTAGCAACAACAGAAGTAAAATTCAAAAATATGAGATGGACTGGTGGGATTTTGCTGGTAGAGGGCTCCAAATGCCCAGTGCATCTGCAGGTCCTTCTTCGTAAACATGAACTGTAACCCAAATTGGCACCTGCCACCTTCAGGTCCTTTGACCCCAGCCTTCCCCAGACGCACGACTTGCAGAAAGCTGCTGAGAGCCACCTGGCTGAGAACTGATGCTGGGTGCAATTTCCCAGAGTCATCCTGCTGCCCCCTCCCCCACACACCCCAGGCACAAATGGAGTTCTAACATAAAGCTGAGAGCTGGACTTACAGCAAACAATTTTGCATGACAGCTTAAGTTTATAAATAACACCAGCCCAGGATGTTTTGTGTATCTTCTGGGGTTTTTTTTTGCTTGTTCATATGCTGTGTTCAGTTTATTTAAATTGTATTTGTATTTTTATAAGCCTTTTCGGGTCCCTCACTGGTAGAGGAAAGCAGGATAAGAAATGCACTACATAAATAAGCCACAAGTCAAATACTACCAACCCTGGATAATATTTATGTGGGAGTGAACTGTCTTTGCATTCACAGATACTTATTTATGCATTTTTACTTACTTCATTTACACCCCACCTTGATCCCCCCCAATGGGAACCCAAAGCAGCTTACTTCATTCTCCTCTCCTCTATTTTATCCTTAGAACAACAGGAGATTTTTTTTGGGGGGGGGGAGTTAGCCTGAGAGCACGTGAGTGGCCCAAAGTCACCCAGCAAGCTTCCATGGCAGAGTGGGGATTTGAACCCGGGTCTCCCAGTCCAACACTCTAACTGCTACACCACACTGGCTCTCAAAACTTATAACAATATTTCTCTTACCCTGTAAAAGAGATGCTATGAAGGCTGTTGCCACGCTGCTGGAACACAAAAGGACTGAGTGATCAAAGCGATATTTGCCTTCAGGAATCCAGCCCAATATAACTGCTGCCACAGCAGCCAAAAATCCAACTACGGTTGCTTGGACCTACAAATAAAAAAGAAATATTTACTTAACATTACAAAAGTACAGACATTCGGTATGCATCACTGGACACGAGATCAAGCAGTTATTAATCTGTGTTTGTACAACAGCCAGCCCACCCCCCTTCATACTCAGAAGAGAATGGCTGTTCATATCTAGGACCAGTGTTCCCTCTAAGCTGAGTTACTGTGAGCTAGATCACAGTTTTTTAGCCTCCGGTTCACAGATTTTTGTCTTAGCTCAGGAAGGAGGGCTCCGGAGCAAACTGATTTATACTGTAGCCAAATCGTTCGCTCACAACTTCAATGCCAGTAGCTCACAAAGTAGAATTTTTGCTCACAAGACTCCACAGCTTAGAGGGAGTATTGTCTAGGACCTCTCTCCCTTCTTCCAAAAAGGGCAGAAATAGAGCTGGAACATATGCTCCATAATTACTTTTACTAAGTTATAAAGCACCTAAAATACAATATATTGAAACTTGCAAAATGAGGTACGGTGAGAAACTAGCATTCTACCCCAGTGGGAAAACTGGAGGAAGAATTCTACAAAGCTTTTTTGTTTCATCTGTACCTTCCAGATGAAGATTTTTCTGTCAGCTTTCCTCTGTCTTGCCGAAGCACAGTTTAAATGCAATTTTCTTTTGCTGTTTTTTCCTCTCAAACTTTCTAGGGTTTGTGGCCAAAGAAACTGGAAGGCCTTACCCAAGTTAGTAACACAAGACACCCTAACTACCGTGTAAACTTGCCAATTCATTTTGTGTAAGCCTGAATCACCTGGCTCAAGAACTTTATGGATATGTATGTTTGATAAGAATATGCTGATTTGCAATGACACTGCAACTCTTATGAATATTCTGTAGGGATTCTTGATTTAAAGTTTGTTAGCAGGGTATTAAAGAGGCAGAGTCCGTGGTGTGTTTAAAAGAATAAAAAGTTTACTACAACCTAACATGGGAAAAGGTACACAGGATATAAAATAACAAAGAGCTTATATGTCTACATCCTTACAGCTAAACTGAAATGGCAGAATGGCAGCTTCTTCTTCTTGGTCAGAACAAAGAACACTAAGACGGGAAGAGAAGCCATAAAATGCTAATACTTGGCACTTTGGTTTCCAATCAGAACAACAAACTAGCTCTGAAGTTCCCGGGCTTTCTAACTGTCTAAACAGATTGGTTACAAACAAACATGTGACTTAACAAACATAATTAACCCAGTAAATACTGAAGTGTTTTAACTTGTAACACCCAACATATTCACCTGTTTTAAAGCCAAATTGCCAATGATCAGATTCCACTTCTCAATTGGAGAATCCATTTTCCCAACATTTACCTTCAAGAAAGAGAAAACATGTTCATAACTGAAATATCTTAATACATGGCCTTAGAAGAAATAAGAAGAAATGAACGATGAATCTGGACAATTGACACTTTACGCTGTAACATTATCAAACTTGTCCTTGCAACCATAAGGATTATATAATATTTCTAAAACATCAGAGCAAATACTCAGATTTGACTCACTCACAAGCCAAAGCTGCAGTTGCTTCAAGGTTACTCATGGCCCACAGGTCATCTGTTGACAACCTCTGCTTTGTAACATTATATATTGAGTGACACAATTTGTGAAACAATTATGAAGCACAGGATTTTTGGGCTATAAAATGCTGGAACAATTGGGAGTTTCCTTTTACTCATTAGGCTCCTTGATGTATCGTTAGTAGATAGGTCGGCAGCAAAAGGAAAAGAAACAAAAATGGAATCCTACCCTGTTTATTTCAGAATAAGAACATAATGGATATAAGCAGTTTGGGAGTTGCCATGTTTGTAAGAACGATGTGAGGATAATGGCAATAACACACATGCCAGAGTTGGCTCTCCTGCTCATTATATATGTCTGATGTGACTGATTTGGTCATAAGGTTGTCTGACAATGTTCTGGTTGGCTGACAGTGTGCTCACTTAAAACAGGCTTCATCTCCACAGAGGCTTGTGTGGTATCTATCCATCTAGCTGCACACATGCAGGAATTTACTATTTTTAGCTATACAGTATAAGTTTATATAAAGAAAAATTGACAACTTTTAAATACTGCTAGTATTTTTCACTGAGAATTTTGCAGTAACATTCATATATGCAAAACAAAATCGGAGAAAGGTATTTGGGAACAAGACATTAACAAGTGCATCCAGGGGAGTCAAGCATCACTCTTGTGAGCGTGTCACTTCAGAACAGGACGTGTCTCATCCAAAGGAACATGCAAGAAACACATTGCTGAACAAGTTCACAGTATAATGAATTAACAATGAAGATACTGCTTTAATTGTTGTTTTGTTTCAACAGCTGAATACACCAAGAGACCAAAGTCTCAGCACAAGCAGGACGAACTTTCCCAGGCTTGACTGTCCGTTTCGACTTTGCGTCTTTATCAAACGTCAGTTTGTAGTTGTTTGTCTTCAGTACATGGTTTTCAACAATATGTGCATAGTTTCAAAGGTGGCTACTTCAAGCTCTCATAGTCAACAATTATCCAGAAGGGAATTGTTGACTATGAGAGCTTGAAGTAGCCACCTTTGAAACTATGCACATATTGTTGAAAACCATGTACTGAAGACAAACAACTACAAACTGACGTTTGATAAAGACGCAAAGTCGAAACGGACAGTCAAGCCTGGGAAAGTTCGTCCTGCTTGTGCTGAGACTTTGGTCTCTTGGTGTATTCAGCTGTTGAAACAAAACAACAATTAAAGCAGTATCTTCATTGTTAATTCATTATATTGTGAACTTGTTCAGCAATGTGTTTCTTGCATGTTTGATCTAAATTGCTGGGTCCTATCTACCTTGTCATCCAATGGAACACCAACTGCTGAGGAGGGTATGATCAAGAAAGACTAGCGATACCGACTGGGCAACACACAATATATGCATGACATGCCACATAAAAAAGCTCCAACCTGCTATCGATTGAAACTTCCCTTTGAGAGTTCACTGGGAATAGCCAGTGAAGGAACATGACTACCAACTATCAGCCATTGAAAGCTGATTAAAATAACTGCCTCCTTTCTTTTTCAGATATTTGGGCAAGACTGCGAAGGGTTGGCTTCTTTCAGCAGTTACCCCCAGAGAAGAGGCTACTAAAGGAGTTTACAGGTGTCAATCTATAAAAATAAATACAGCAGCGGCCCCTTATATGATAAGAGACTGCAAACATGTCTCATTTCATATGCACTTTTGAGACTGACTCAAAATGCCACACCTACTTACAGCTGTTGACAGTCGGGATGCCAAAGTCATTTCTAAATTTCCCTTCAAGCCAAGCAGTGCAGGAACCAAGATGAAAACTTCAGTAATATTTCTGAACACTTCCCAATGCTGATTTACAAAAAGGAAAATAAGAATATGGATATTATTTATTTTAAAACAGCAACATGAAAGTATATTTCTGGCAATATGCTATAACAGTTATTACCAAGGATATGAGATACTTTAATATTGGTATATCTCACTAATTAAAGATTAGATCAATCCAATGTCTAACATAAAATCTAAAATCAGTGCCTTTAGCAGTACATAAACATAATTTGGAATGCCAAATTGTTAATGACCATGTGGAAGTCTTGCTTCTTTTTGCCCTGTTCAGATGACCAAGAAAGGTGGTGAAGGGGAAGGGGGAGTTAGCATCGTGCTTGCCCAGGCCAGTAAAATGAGCCTGCGCAAGCCAAGATGTCCCCCCCCCATGCATTTCAGGCTCAGAGTTCATTAGAGTAATCCTGTAGATGAAAAAGTGATCCGCTTTGAGAAAGGAAGCCTTCGTTGCTGCTCCTGACTCAGTTGCGCCATCATCATGGGATGTGACACAAAGCCCACCTTGGAATGGAACTCGACTTCTAAGATCAATGTGCAACACTTACTCTGTTAAATAAGTAATGCTCGCACATCTCAAATCATACCTTGTGAACACAGATCACTTTAGTGGTTTCACGTCTTTTGATGCAAACAAGTAGTCACTTGCTATTTATAGTAGGCAATGACAGAATCTTTGGTTGAAAAGCAATGACACGCACACACAGAGGTAAAACTGTGCATGCAGCTGGGGCTTCATTGATGGTTTTCACCTCAGCAGAGCTGCTAAACACAACAAAACAACAGCAGCTGCTAGAAGGGAAACTGCCTCCAGCACACATGCTATTTTCTATTCTTTCCCCCCCACTCAGCAGTTTGAAAAGCAGACTGCAGGTTTAGCGGGAAGAGGTGCTGATAGGAAAACTTTTAAAACAACCCTGGCATGGATGCACCTCTGCGTACATCTTTTTTTTCCATTTTTTGTGTGTGTTAAGATATATTTTAAGAACAAACAGATGCTAATAGAACAGTAAGCTATTAGGGCCATGGTATATTTGTAAGGGAAAGAAATTCTTTGCTTGTACAAGGCTAGATGGCAACCCTAAGCAGGTCTGCTCAGAATAGGGCTGCCAGGTCCTACCTCCTTCCTGGCGGAGGGATCTTCAGGCCTTGCTGGGATCTTCTGCCATGTGCTCTTGCAATGACGTCGCCCAGAAGTGACATCATCACGCCACCACTGCTTTAGTTTTTGGGCAAAACTCTATGGTTTGAGACCAAATTTACCACAGAGTTTTGCCCAAAAACTAGAGCGTTGCTGCGCAACGTCAGCAACATGATGACGTCACTTCTTCAAGTTCTACACAGAACTTAGTCTCAAGGTGTGTGTGTGTGGGGTGGCTTTGAAGAAACACAGGGAAGTATAATCAATCAGAAAATTCTTCCCTGCCCCTGGTGCAATGTAGATAGGACTGTGTGTGATTGCTAAACTTGTTAGCTTTGAACGTCAAGAGATCTAATGCAGCAGTGTTATTGTCTTATAGCAGGGGTTCCCAACCTTTTTGTGTTGTCAGCACCTTTGGAATTCTCACAAAGGGTGGTGGGCACAATCACAAAATGGCTGCCACAGGAAGTGAGGCCAACCAAAAAATGGCACAGATGCAACTCTAAAAGCAACTCTTCAACATTCCAGGCAGAAGCTCTGTTTAACAGAATACATTTTGCTTTTACTACGTATCATATGTTTTAATCATGGCTCGGTTTTTTCCTTGCCTCTGTGAGCCGCCCTGAGCCCATCGGGGAGGGCAGGGTATAAATGCGAAAAATAAATAAATAAATAAATAAATAAATAATTTTAATCTGCACAGCCAATCAGAAGCCCTGCTGGGAAAAAGCCCCACCTGGCCCTGCACACTTCCTAAAAGGAGCTGGTGGGCACAAGGAAAGGTGATGGAGGGCACCATAGTGCCCATGGGCACAACGCTGGGGACATCTGCCCTATAAGCCTGACTAATTAGTAAGAAGTTCTAACCTGAGTGGTACAATGTAAAAAGGGGTATTATGTTAATATAAGAAAGTTCAGGAGGGAAAAATTAGGACTGGGGATGCAATTCCTAACCTTAATTTCATCCCTATTTCATGACCACACTGCTTTTTAAATAATCTTAGGGAGATTATAACTAAGAAGAAAGAATGCATTTTTATTTCTATCCTTCTTAATTCCCTAAGAACCTTTTAACATAAAAGTGATCAGAGCCCTAAAAATGTATAAGTACCCTGGAGATTACATTTTGAGATGGAGGGGGGCTCCCTCCAGTATCCTATAAACTGGCAATTTTCTCGGAGAGAGAGAAAAAGCAGCACTCAGCCATTTTAAAAACTTAGAGAGCAAGCAGTATATTCAGTGCTTACTGGGTGTTTTGGCAGAGTGCATATGTTCTTTTTTTTAATTTAGAAATTGATACCTTGTCTCTGGTTGGCCCTCTTAATGCACAAGATCACCCAGTCTCATATTTAAGAATTAGTATTACTGTCCTTGATATCCCATAGGACATATATAACTTGGCACAACTTAATGTAGAAAGATCAAGATGGAAATGACCATGAAAAAGAATAGCATTTCTAAAAATAAAATAAAAAGACCAATATCAAATGCCACCATGAACTGGAAATTAAAAAGAATCAATACTCTTTAAAAATAAAACTAAAAAGAATCTATTACTCTCTGTAATCCACTATGAGTCCCAGTGAGAAACATGGACAATAAGTAAGTAAATGAGTTAACTGTGTAATAAAAAGCCATGTTACCAACCTGCACAATATCCAAAACCATCCCTGCAGACACTGTCCCAAATCCCGCTAGCAGAAATGGTACGAGAATCTGCAGTGCCATAATGCTGCTAGATTCTTTTGGCTGTTTTCTGCTCCCTTCCACAAGGACATCTTCATCACCATCACTAGATACATTATTGTCCTGCAGCATAGGATCTGTGTCTGTTGCGTCCACTCCATCTGAATAATTGTAATTTGCGAAGTTATCGTACTTTGGGCTACAGCTTGAAGAATTGTGTCCATTACTACCATGATGAAAAGTAGATTCTGAAAAGTGATGGTAATCCATGTGTTGATCAGTTCTAACACTGAAATTGTGTCCTGATGGCTGTAATCCATCTTGCCAGAGACCATTCACTTTCTTAAGTCTTTCTTCCTGGCTTTTGTGATAAGCAATGGGAACCATACTCAAAAGCAGGTTCAAGAACTTGTCAGACTGAATTGTGTTTAGATTTATAGTCCAATCTGCATGGCTTCCTCCATGGTAAGCTTTACCATTTGTTTTGCTGCAGACAAGTCTTTCTTTACAATTAGTCATGCTGTTTCAAAATTATTTTTCTGATGATCACTTCAGATCCCAAGGAAGCAATTTTACAGATGTATCAAATGGTTATACACATATTGTTCACCCAATACAGCGGATCCTCTTGTTAATTTGTCTGTTATGTAGAAAGTTTTCTTCTCGCTAACTTTTGGTCTTGAGCAATTCTACAACAAACCTTTGTTCTGAAAAACAACATAGGACAAATATTAAACTGGCTGCCTTTTCTGCTTCTGAAGGCTATTATTTCTGGCTATTACTTTGTTTTGTAGAAATTTTAAAAAAACAGAAAGAAGTCAACCTCTTTATCATGTTACTACTATATTACCAGAACCTCCTTGCTGCAACATGAAAGAATCTGATCATCATTCAATTACCCATCCTATATATATAACTGCCCTGCGTATTGGCCATTTCCAGCTCTCCCATTGGCTGTGCTGTGCACTCCATCAGCCATTGGCCCAACAACCGCCACTTAAGAGTACTCGCATGCCATTGGTTGGGTGCTGGGTCCGCTCCTCTCCCCAACCCACTGCCAGCCTAGACACTCTTCCCTGACAGAATAAACTGCCAAAATGGCTATCTGTCCTGACAAAGACACTTCTCCTGTTTGGTTCCTGTGGGACTAACGTTTCCCTCAGTTGCTGTTTCTAGGCAACCAAACTTGGTTCTGTCAGTAAAAAGGCAAAGGCAGGAGGTCCTTTCCAGGCCTTTGTGGGGAACTCACTGGGGCCAGTCCTGACTAGGGTTGCCAGCTCCAGGTTGGGAAATTCCTGGATATTTTGTGGTGAAGTCTATGGAAGCCAGAGGTTGGGGAGGGGAGAGGCCTCAGCTGAATAGAATGCCATAGAGTCCACCCTCCAAAGCAGTTATTTTCTCCAGGGGGAGAGAGATCTATTGTCAGGAGTTCAGTTGTGATACCCAGTGATCTTCAGGCTCCACCTGAAAGTTGGTTACCCTAGGCGTAGCACTTCAAAGCAGGGTCTGCCAGACCCAGGTTCTTGCTGTGGAAGTTGAGTGGGTGATTTTGGACCAGTCACAGACTTTCAACCTAACCTACTTCACAGGGTTGTTGTGCAGATCAAAAGGGGGAGAGGAGAATGGTGTAAGCTGCTTTGGTCTTCACTGCAGAGAAAGACTGTACTTTTCCTCCTGGGGAACCATTGCTGCCAATCTCCAGGTGAGGGCTGGAGATTACTCAGAATTAAAACTGCTCTCCAGACGGTAGGCCCCGCCCCCGGCGTGCACGTCACTAGGAAGTGACATGGGCACGCCGGGCACGCTGGGGTCGGGGCCACGGCCATACAAGGGAAAACTCTATGGTTTTCCCTTGTATGGCCGTGGCCCCACCCCCAGCGTGCCCGGCGTGCCCATGTCACTTCCTAGTGACGTGCACGCCGGGGGCGGGGTTCCCCCCGGGGCCCGATTCTGCCGCAGCGGAAATCGGGCCTCCAAAGCGGGGGGAACCCTGCCCCCCGGGCCGATTTGGCAGCCCTAGGAGGGGATGAAAAGCTGAAGTCAGAGGGGCAGATAAACGTAGGTTGATGGTTGGCTGGGAAGGAGATATGGTTGCCAACTCTAGGTATGGAAATCTCTGGGAATTTGAGGGGTGGGGCCGGGAGAGGGTGGGGTTTGTGGAGGGGTGGGACCTCAGACAGGTACAATGCCATAGACTCCACCCTCCAAACCAGCCATTTCCTCCTAAAAAACCATTATTGCCAATCTCCGGGTGAGGGCTGGAAATGACTCAGAATTACAAGTGCTCTCCAGATAGCAGAGATCTGTTCCCCTGGAGAAAATGGTGGGTTCTGTGTCATTATATCCTGCTGAGATGCCCCCCCCATGGCAGCCAGTGTGATGTAGCAGTTAGCGCTTCAGAGCAGGGTCTTCCAGACCCATGTTCTTCCTGTGGAAGCTGATTGGGTGATTTCAGACCACTACAGCCTAACCTACCTCACAGGGTTGTTATGCAAATCAAAAGGGGGAGAGGAGAATGATGTGAGTTGCTTTGGTCCCTACTGTGGAGAAAGACTGTGCTTTTCTTAAGTAGAGGCTGCAGGGAGGGGGGAGGAGATGGAAACCTGAAGTCAGAGAGACAGATAATGGCACGTTGATGGTTGCCTGGGAAGGAGATATGGTTGCCACCTCCAGGTTGGGAAATTCCTGGAGATTTGAGGGGTGGAGCCTGGAGAGGGTGGGGCTTGAGGAGGGGAGGGTCCTCAGATAGTTACAATGCCACAGACTCCACCCTCCATTTCCTCCTGTGGAACCACTGCTGCCAATCTCGGGGAGGGCTGGAGATCACTCAGAATTACAATTGCTCTTCAGATGGCAGAGATCAGTTCCCCTGGAGAAAACGGTAAGCTCTGTATCATTATACCTTGCTGAGGTCACCACAGCAAATTGATGCTGAGTGCCAAAGACCAGGGCACCTGCCCAGAGCCTCCTTCTAGAGCTCGTTGTATTTATTTCCACAATGGGCCTCATTCCGAGTTAAACTAATAAGTGTAATAAAATCAAACTCTTCCCTTGTCTTCCTTGTTTCTCTGTAAAAAGAGCACCTACAGACATGTTCTCCCAAAGTTCAGTGCCATTCTAATTTGACATCTAAGAAGCTTACTTTTAGACTTCAAACAACCAGCAGAGAAATGCAAAAATGTATGATATAAAATCATATTGGTGAAAGCCACAGAATTTCTACTGCAAAAAGGTCAACAGAAGCAGCTGCAAGTCTTCTCAAACGCTTGCTGAATGAATGCAGGAGGGGGGAACCATACTGTACTTAGCAACATATTCTGAACATACTTGCCACAAATAATAATGCAAAAGAACATTCTGACCCTTTGAAATTATTCATCAGCCTGGAATTTAGTGAGTGCTTTTAGGACATTCACTGTTTTCCCATGAATATTATTTTGCTAATCGTGTCCTTGCAGAAAGAGGCTGAAATAGCAGTTGTCTGTACCTACAGAAAATTTGTTAATCATGCATGCTAAACCTCAAGACATTTACAGAATATGTCCCACTGATTTCATTGTAATTTATATTGAAGTGATTATATTTAAGATCAAAACTTCACAGTCTGAGTGCTGGGCACAAAGGTGCAAATAGTGCCCTGGACTATCTGCACAGAGTGCCAATCCCAGCTTTGGCATAGCAGTAGCCAGTTATGCAATATATGCAGAAATATGCTAAGATTAATCAAATGAAATACAAAAAGGGCTAGTCTGAATTTATTTGTGCATTACCTCAACATGACTGCAGGTATTTCTTCAAATGTCTATGTATTCAAAATAAAACGTATCTAACATCTGAAGAAATACAGAAAAGCCCACTAAAATTAAGCTGAAATACAGCAAGTTTTTTCCTAATAACCACTCACTTTAATATATCATACTGAGTTTTATTTTTCAAACTGTGATCCGATGCATGCTTACATGTGAGTAACCCTCACTGAAATCAAAGGGACTTTATTTCTGAGTCAACTTGCTTATGAAGAGGTTGTAAGAGACACAGAGTAGAATCCTAAAACCATCCTGGAATCCATTAAGAAGTCAGTTATATTCCTCCACCAGTGGCACCTTTAAGACCAACAAAATTCAATTCTGTGTTACACAGAGATATGCCAGCACCTCATTTACACAACACCCAGAAGAAGTGAGCAGTGACTCATGAAAGTGCATACCTTGCCACGTATTTTGTTAGTCTTTAAGGAGCTACTGGACTCCTGCTCTTTTCTACTGCTACAGACAGACTAACACGGCTACCCATCTTGATCTAACAACACTAGTGTAAACCTGGTACCAGGCCAGCAGGTCTGCACTAGCTTAGGGGACAGAAATGGCTAGTATCAGGAGTATGCCAGGGAAGAGAGGGATTTAGTCGCCATCCTCCTCAGTCTTCAGGAGGATGCCCCTAGCACCAGCATAATATTACACCAACAAAAAGCTGGCATAAGTAGAAACTGTTCTACTGAACTCAATGAGAGTGAAAAACACCTGCTCCTGACCACTTGTATTCAGCCATGGCACAGCTGAAGATGCCAACTAATTCCGTAGCCAAGCTCAGGTCTCTTTACCACTATGGAAACCCCAGGCAGGACACCCGTATTTCCTATGACAGGGCATGCTGCATAGGCCACTCCTATCTGGTCTCATATTGTGTGCACTTAGAACAAACATAGAAGAAATTTGGGTGAGTGGACATCTAAAGAAAGGGCATTTTGCACAAAAAGCAAGGAAGTAAAAAACAAAACAAAACTCTGTTGCAGCGTATTGACAACACTGCTTTCTCAGAACCCTTACAAATCACAAGCCAGCACACAACCCCAGAGATTTAGAGCCCACTGGCAGCACTGAGACTGGTACTTAATCTAAAGGCTGCTGCCACAAGTGCTGGACTGCAACAGGGATAGCCCCCACTTAAGCACAGGAGCAGAACGGGGTGAGGATGTGATGAAGAAAATATGTAGGCGAAAACCAAATGAAAACCACGCTTCCTTTTAAAAAAGGGGGAGGGGGGAAAACAGGAGGCAACACATGCGCTATGGTTGCTCCCCTTGGTGATGCATCACAACGCAACCACGCACATGGGTTTTTTTAAAAGGGGGAGGGGGAAACAAGGGGGAGGAGTGGCAACACGTGGGGAAAGGCAGAAAAGTAGCATATGTGGAAATCGAGATCCGACACAAAACGACCACAAAAGGCGGAGAGTTAACTGCTGTGCAGAACTCGTGCATCATATCTGGACCTTTGGAACGCGCAGGTAAATGAAAGCAAACCGTTAATGTGGAATTGGCCTAAGTTAAAAACAACAAGAATTCAAGAATTCAATCAGTCAGACAACATAATACAAAGATTTATCCAACAGCCGCATAAATAGGCAAACCGTTAATGTGGAATTGGCCTGAGTTAAAAACAACAAGAATTCAAGAATTCAATCAGTCAGACAACATAATACAAAGATTTATCCATCAGCCACATTAATAGTGGTTGTTT